TACTACTACTACTACTACTACTACTACTACTACTACTACTACTACTACTACTACTACTACTACTACTACTACTACTACTACTACTACTACTACTATTGTTCTTTCTTGCTGGTGTTGAGCTCTTCTTTGTTAGCTAACTATTGCTAGTACTTTGTAGTATAGTACTCCTTCTTGTTGTCTGGAGAGTGTGTCATTGTGCCCCTGTTTTACTGGTCCTGTTTGTGTCTCCACTTTTACTTAACAGTTTTGAAGGTTTAGCTATGGCAGTTGGATTCCATGAATGACTGTGTAGAATGTGTAGAATAAGTACTAGATACTAACAAATATGGGCATGCGTGTGAATAAAAAATATTTTTGCACATGAAATTAAACAGTCTGTTAACATGTGAACAATATATTGAAGGTGGTACAGTGTACCTCTTTTAAATGCAAATGACCTGTATAAGAAAGCAAGCCATACAATTATGAAGTATGGCCTCAAAAATCATCTACTCTTCTTACCTATTTAGTGCTAGTAGTGGCGGCATATATAATGACTGTTGGAACCCTTTCAACCACCACGACGAAGATGAAATATATAGTAGTGTTAAAACTGCTCTATTTGAAGGCTTATTCCAATATCTTTAACAGCACAATTCTTATGCATATAGCACATTAAACTACAGTGGGATTCAATACTTACTACTATAGCACTACTTATCAGTGTTACTGCTACTAGTACGTAGTAATAGTACTAATACTACAAATAGCTGGTAGTAACAGTCTAATTGAATTGAGGCTTTGCCAGAAAAATAGTACCCGTAACCCTATTTTTTTACCAAATCTCCTGTTTTTGCTACAGGGACGTTCTGAAACAGCAAATTTCCACGTATGCTTTAGCTACTAGTAGATCCACCTCAAGTTTGACCACCACTTTGACCACTGGTTACATTGGGCACACGTGTGTGTTTTTACCATAGTAGGCAACGGCTCTACTGAAGAAATAGGGGGTGCCAGGAAACAATTTTCATTTAAGGCTAATTTATCTGGCTTTCTTCTGGTAGATATATGGTAAAAACATAGTTGATTTGAGGTAGAAACATAGTCCTCGATAATTGCTGGTAGAAACATAGTAGTTGACATGTGGTACTAGTAGTAGTACTAGCTCTACCAGCACATGATTCCATAAGTGTTATTTCTTCTACTTAGTAGGGGATCTGGGAAGGCTACCAAAAATCAACATTAAATCAGATATCAATTAGATATAAATCTGATTTGTATTCCTTTTCTAGTCGATTTGTAGTTGAATTCTGGTAGCAAAGAAATCTAATTTTGAATAAATAGTTTCCCGTATCCCCCAAGTCATAATCAGAGTATCGTCTCGTACGTACTCGTACTACCTGAACATGTGCAATGTGCTCATTGCAGCAACAATCTAATCTAGTCGAACTAGTCGGAGATCCTGTATCTAACCGTACGTGGAAATTCGCTGTTTCAGAACGTCCCAGTGTGGTATTAAGCACGACTGAAAGGTCATCAATGGATTGCGTCACACGGGAACSGAAGGAGCTTCGAAGTGAGTAGAAATTGAGCCATTCTCGCCAGCGAATGAAATCCATAATCGTGTTTTCAATTGACCTATCGTATCATAAAGTTCAGTATTAATATGCCCGTTAGATTATTATCGTGGAGAGACTA